GTGGGATCTTTTGTTGACTTTGAACGCGTTTTTGCGTTGACCAGTTTCGTCTTCACTCGATCGATCATTTGCGAGAGAAGATCTAAGATAAAGATAAATCGTCTTCTAAAAACGAAATGGAAAATGTTTAATTTTGGTTTTTGTTATGTTTATAGAAAGATTTTGTTCAAGTTGTAGATGATATATCAATGTTACAGGGGAAGAGAATGTGAAAGTCTTCACGGTGACTAAAGATTTCGGAGAAGAGATGGTAATAGGAGAGAGCTTCGGTAAAGTTGTGAGGGGATACATTAATCCCAAGACGTTATCTCCGGCCAAGGAAGGTGCCGTTAAGAGATTTTACTTAGCCAATGAACAAGCTTTGCAAGAGTGGCTTGTAAGTTAAAATGCTGATTTTAAGTCACATTGAACAATGTTTATGTTGTGTGGTTAAAAGTTTAGAGGTGAGATTTGTAGGTGGACCTAGAGTTTCGACGACTTAGTACTATCATCCAAGCTTGGTTAAGCTCATTGGCTATGGTATGTTGTTCGTCGTTTCTGAATACTTTCCAAACGGAAGCTTAGAGGGTTACATCTATAGAGGTAATGAAGTTTTTTTTAAGACAAGTCTTCTCCTTTCTTGGCCTTAATGATTTATGCATTTCTCTCATAGAGACTCGTCCAAGGCCATTGTCGCGGCTTAAGATATCCACAGGAGCAGCTCACTGTCTTGCCTTCTTGCACTCTAGGAAGAAAGCCCGTCTCTACCGTAGATATCTCACTGCTTCTAAAATCCTGCTCCATATCGGTATGGATTCGCTTACACTTTTCTTGATTACTTTGATCATTAATTAACTTACAAATGTGTATGCACGAGTTCAACGCAAGAATTTCTTATTTCGGACTCAAACGCTACCTTCTCATGATGAAGGGACGCATGTCTCCTCGGTTGCTAGATATCACTACGCACCTCCCGAATACATATTGACAGGCAACAATCTTCCTTCTCTCTAAAGTTACAAATGAACATTGAATTCAAAGACACTAACCTTTGACTGATGATTTCATCGTTATACCATATGCAGGGAAGTCTCACATGCCGGGAGATGTATATAGCTTCGGTGTTATATTGCTCAAGATCTTAACTGGCTTTGGAAAGCAGCGCATAATCGTAGCAATACGAGCTTTACCAAATGACAAGGAAAACATTAAAGATATGATCGATCCAGATTTAGAGAATAGCTATCCTCTCGAACAAGGGATGCGTATGTGCGAGGTTATAAAACAATGCCTTGACGAAGATCCAAAGAAACGACCATCCATGCAACAAGTGCTAGATGATTTGAATGCAATAGCTCAGATTTGAGGGGTAAACTAAGAAGGCTATTATTTATATAAGACCATGTTTAATGGTCATGTGGGTATCATACGAAAAAATTGAATAAAAAAATTAATTAAAAATGTAGAACATGCTGCTTTTATGTGAGACAGATCAGCGTAAAGAGTCGGATGAGACAGTCTCATTAACACACGTGGCGATTCCGGATTAGGTCTGGACATTCTGATTTTTTTTTCTAAATAGTAAATATAATGAAAATTTAGGA